GAAAATGCTAGGATCTCAAGAATGGACTCCTGTGCTGCATAGGGAAATAAACCTTACCATGCAGAGGGCAAATTAACCGCATTCAACAATACCTGCTACTAATGGTCTACTTCTCCTTTTATACTGATTCTATACGCTGTTCTATCCAAAGTTTCTTACAAATTTCTCCAGAGTGTATTTACTTTCACATTTAGGTAGGTTTTAATAAACAAATTTGTGCGAGAAGAGGACCAAAACTGCAAGACGGCAGGTTTGTGAAAACCCCGAATCCCTCATTCTCCTGACCACCACTCTTATTCTTCGTATCTAGTAGAAGTGCCACGTGAGTATGACGATTGCCAGACTGTACTGACTACAAGACGAAATAGAAAGGGCGCGCTCTGTTTGGCTTTGAGTCCCGACCTTGAGCTCTCGACGAAAATTGCGTGACTACAGGCAATCAGTAATCGGTAACAATTTTTGACCAAGGCAGCTGGAGACTAGGGTGACCCACTAGAGATGTACAGCAAGCCAACTCCAATCTTTTACGGACATTTGCATATAAACAACACATTTTCTGGCTTTCGATTAGCTCCTCTATGACCCTTCAAGAGACATCCGACACATATGAGAGTACCGCAGGACGATGCCAGACACTGCCAACTAGTCGCTGATCATCACGTGGAGACGAATTCATTAAAAAACGAAAGTACGAGGTGAAAAGTACTTGAAACTTTCTATGGGTCGCGCATATGCACTTTGCGGCTTCCAAGTTCATGCGTTTTTTCAACACAATGACTCATTTCTACGAAAACCAAAGATTTCAGTCGAAGCTTCATTCTTTAGGTCGACGTACGAGAAAAATTGCAAGTTAAAATTGGTACACACTTTCAATTATGAATAATTTTGAAATTAAAAGTGAGGTAGGGACCACGAACTTTGGAGGCAACAACTCTTTTAACAGTAGTCATACCGAACGCTCTTCCTAACTTCAAACTAGAAGAAAACCATTGAATTAAAATATGTTTTGTGAAGATCTCCGGCCTCGAGATATAGTATAATATACCGGTCGTTAACATTTTTCAGCATATTCTAGTTTGTTTGTTCAAGAACATTTTTCCATTACAGCCGGTCCTCCGGCAAACTTTGGGAGCTAAAAGCAATTGATCGTTACTCCAATTAATGTGACGCCAAACTTCTCCATCGAACTACTTAGCACGAAATGTCCCCGCTCAAACTGTCAGCAAATAATCTGGAAACAAGACCGCCTGGACAAATAGGGTTTGGAAAACACAGGCTTCTAATAACATTTCTTTCTTTAAGAGGTTTATTTTAAGAAGCCTCGAAAATTGCAAAAGTGAGAGTCTAAGAAGATAGATAAAGCCTTTTAGTTTTGACAACTTCTATGAATATGCAACAGAATCATCAAAATAAATAATTTATATGGTATATTTTCCTCTAAGAAGAATACTTAATATCTAAGTACAATGCTTCCAGCAGGTCAAACATTAACACCAGTTATCTTGGTTGATAAAAACGTCTGCAGTTAAACAGATGAAGAAGATCGGAACATATCAATGATTTGCCAGAAGGACGTAGAATTTTTTAGATGACACCTTAATTATAGTTGTGCAATGTGGCTATACGCAATAAATATATTGTCAAGAAAAAATAAGAACTGTCGTTTGTAGGATACCTCAAAATTTTAAAAAGCTCAAAGCCTCCCCATCTACTTAACGTAACCGCATAGTATCTAGGCATTTGGATGGGTAAAATTCATTCTTTGCAAGCAGTGCAGTTTTGTACTTACTTATATTTACTCGTTTAATTTTATCATTATAAGATGGATTGCTTTACCTCCTTCTGTCAAGAATTTATCAGTTCGGGTGATGTATATTCCATTTTCGCATGCTGCATCATTAAACTGAAAGGACTTTGGCACTGCTCAAAGGCAGCCTTTGAGCAATAATGCCGTAATTGGACCTGATTACTATTGACCTGAAATTTCGTTCAAGGGTTTAAAAAACACTTTAAACAGACGGCTTTAAAACTAACAAGGAACTAACGCGCCGGCAAAGAAGAAAGCCTTAAATGTAGTGTGTTAAACCCCATTTATGATGGAATAGACATCATTATAAAATGACATTTGACAAAACTTCTAATAAATACAGGAGAGAGGATTAATCGTTGTTTCAATAGGCTGTTCGGACAGGGTGGGCTTGAATGTATGCAACATCGCTTCTTAAAAGCACTTAGGTATCATAAGGCTGAGGCCCCGAAGTTATCCACTGTGAGTTGCCGTCTTAAATGAAACTGGTGCCCTAGAACTTTAATCCAATTCAAATGTGCGAGATTAAATTAGAAGGCACACGCTTGAGCAGAAAAGAGGAGCAAAGGCAATCTTAAGAGGAAAACTTTGTTATTTTACACGGGACATGTAGACTAGTTAGCTTTAATCAAACCAGGGGTTTACAGTATGCAAACCTGCAATGGAGGCTGATATTTGGTTTCAGAGTAACGGGAGGAGGAAGAGACCAACTGAGGGTCGGAACCATCTATTTATTCTACTGAACTCTCAAACTTGACGAGAGGCAACCGTTGGCGATGCCGACGGTTACAGAAAAGGGGCTGCCAGGGGAATTTTTAATGACTCAGCGATAATTCTCGCAGGTCTGGAGATGACTGCACAGGCCTCTGAATGTATGCGTATGATCAATACGCTAGTTTACTGAACGCTCGTTAGAGGTTCATGTTTCAATCTACTTCGCAAGTGCGAAACTGAAAGCGTGATCCATTAAATCAATATTAAGTCGTCGTACCATAGCCCACTCTCTGATGACTACGCCGATATAAAATTCAAGATGCCAAAACAGAGTTTTCAGTTGTTTTTCAGACTTACGAATTCCACAGAAAACACCTTACAGCTTCCTACTGAAATTATTTGGGAACTAAACATATCCTGCTTGCTTCGTGAAGGCGAAATACTAAAGAATTCGCCCTATGAACAGAAAAGTGAGCTAGATGTGAACGGGCGATCACGCTATCCACATGAATAATATAATTTTAATCACATTATGTCGGGCATCCGATAAATTGTTTGAGGTTTTTTTTGAATGCCGTCTTCGGCCGTAATGTTCTACCCTCAGTCACCTTCAATGCGCGAAAGTGAACGCTATTCTGCGTAGCTTACTGCACGAAAAAAATTGAGTTCATTACTAGAACAAAAGTTCCTTCCACTGACCTTTTGGTATTCACCTCCGAACCCATCATCAGAGACATTAGCTGGAAGAAGTAGCGGGCCACAGGGCGTTAGCGTGTCGATGCAAGTAATTTACGCGGACCACCTTCTCAACTGGTCACACAAAAGCTAGAGGAGAGCTCAAGCCCCAAAGCCAAATGCTAGAAAGTTGTCTCGTTTATGTGTAAACCTGGTACACTGTTCGGGGATCAGTTTGTGTGTGACATGCAGAGACGGACTGTTTGGCTTTATCAACCTGAACGTTCGAACACCCCTCCGACGCCTTCACATTATCTTGCTATCGTTGTAATATGACTGATGCGGTAGAGAGTTCAGTAGATGCTGCGGAAGTCTGCCCAGCATAAACAAATTCCCACGCAAGTCGCCGGCGATGCACCAACCCTGTGTAGCATACGGTGGGCGTCATCGCTCGCGACGACCTAACCTCCAATAGTCTGTACATATAGTCGTGACATGCGATTATTAACTGAACAAATATTTTGCACATATTATATTTGCGAAAATAAGTAAGATTCTTTTGGGAAGATAATAAACTTTAATGCGTAAATTTTCGAGATTGGTTCCCCAGCTCGCCGTCAGACTTTTGGGCTATGTACGGAAACAGTTAACTATTTAACCACGTCGAAAAAGTGAGTCTATAGTTGGCCAAAGCCTGCGCCGATGCTGCGCTCGCTTCCATTTGTACTTGAGAAATTTGTATGTGGCATCCAAATCGATATGCCGATTGATGCATGCCTCATCTGAGTGCATTGTCTCCAGGAATTCGCGGTCTTTCCTTATTGAGCAGGCGCCAACAATGCGGGTGTTCTTACATGCAAATTTGTGTCCAGTGTCCAGTGTGCATAGCCATCTGGGATAGATGATCTCGTCTTCTCACCGCTAACTGATGCTCATGTATGCGGGTAGAGGCAGATTTCCCAGTTTGGCTACAATAGACGGCATCACAACTGGAACATGGTATTTTGTAGACAACACCTTTTCTATCAAGATAGCCAACCCTGTCCTTAGGGTGTACAAGTTATGTACGCAAGGTGGTTGTAGGTTGGTGTGCTACTTGCAGCTGATGCTTTTTCCGCTGTCTTTCGACGAGTCCAAATACATTTTTTACGTATGGGAGGGTCCGCCAGGTGAATGTTTCTTGGTGCCTCGGTGGCCGCTGTTTATTTGTATTTTGGTTGAACCACGCACATTTTAGAGCACCACCGTGTCAGAAAACCTCAGGGTAATTTGGATATCAGGTCCTTCCATTTCCGGTAATAATAAATTTCTGTGATGTATTTGGATGTGCCGCGGACTCCGCTGCGGTTGCTGACTGGAACCTCGAAATCGTCGTAAGATTCCTTCCTGAATCCTCTCATTGAGTCGTCATGTACCAGGATCTCCTTCGTTTGCCTAACTTCTAAGATGAAACTTTTGCGTGCGATTGAGCTTGCAAGTGCATTTCGCTCGTCAGCGCGACGAGCGCTCGGCCCTCAAAATTTGTAAGGACCTTTCCTCCTATTTTCCTATCGCGTAAGCGCCAGTTAACTGACGAATGAATACTCACCTAAAGTAGTATTTCTAGAGGGCTGAAATGATGGCTAGTCAAGCTTTCGCCTGCATCAGCTACAGTCAGCCAAGCAGTGAGAAGCCAACCAACCTCAATATTTGATTGAAGCAAAAGTGGCGCCTGCTAAGTGGAGAGAACTGATTGGCTGCCCGCAGCTGGCACCAATATGAGAGTTGATTGCTCATGCCGTCTTCGTCGGAGTAATTTTCAAACATGTTCTTTAGCGTGGTTTTTCTCCGCATAAGTTATTTCCTCTCACTGATCACAATTTTCATTGCCGCTGTAGTTGCCCTTTCTTCTCTCGTGAACTATGGTTCGTTCAGATGATGTATCTCTCCATGTATTTTTTGTAATTTACGTTTTCCTAAAACTTGATATTTTGGAAAATGTTTTAGCCCTAAGGAGTTCTGCGTACGAACAAAAGTGGATGTTAAATGCTGGATGACTATTTTGAATACTGTGAAGGACGAAATTTACATCGTATTTTGTGTGATCCTAAATATGCCTTTCTCAGGTTTTTTAAATGACGGACATAGTACCAAATGTTAAAACGATTGCAGTCTTCGTTGAATTTATGAATTCATTTTTAGGAAGGCAGTCAAGGTATAATCTTAAGAAATTACTGCCAATGTATTCCAGGCCGTATTTTACAGCTTTCTGAATTCTAAACAAGCGTTGCTACAGATGGCCCGTAGCGAAATACGCCATTCATGTCAGTAAACGTTAATTACATTAACCATTACCACAACAGACGAGCTGTACTTTCGATTAGGCTTTAGTATAATAATTAGTCTCCTTCAGATAACGTATATTTTCATAAAGATCAGTCGTTCTACAGTATATTAATACTCCATTTTCAACTTGGTCGGAAGGAAGCTGAAAGCAAATTTAAGAGGCAGAAAAAGGAGACTCGGTTTACTGGTCCTTTGGTTTAATAATTTTTCTTTGTGATACATTTAGAAATTTCAAAGGTCGCTGTTCGATGTTAAACACTTACCGACCAAAGAACCCATCAGTCAACTTCTATTTCAAAGTGTTCATACATCTGTTGTATATTTTTGCGCGCCCCGAAAAATGAGATATTCATTTAAATGTTGATCGCAACATACAAAACAGCGTAACTCAAATGTATAGAATTGTTCTTTTTTCTTGAAAATCAATCAGTTTAAAGAGCTAACTACAATAATTATTATCTATATGCTACGAACAAGGCAGAAGAATTCTGCGACGATATCTATGAATTTTTATTTACCTTAGAGGTACTATTGCATTTTGGTAATAGAAAGCTGAGAAAAAGTCTGCACTTAAGGGAAACGAAAGATGAATTCTGCATAGTCTAGCTCAGTCTAGTTTTATCAAGTGAAAGCTAGGCAAGCGCTTTTGAACTTCCTTTAAATTACGAAACTGTTGAATAAAAAATGATACACAAAGATGTTTCATACAGGTGTCCAAGCACATTTAGTCATAAGCGATAAACTTTACAATGCTGCCCACATTTTCTTGCATTTCTGTCAACAGACTAGAGGCTGGAGGAAGTAGTATTTTTTAATAATGCAAAATACTTGGAAGTTAATTCACTGGTTTTCCAATTCTCAGATTCCGAAGACAAAAAGATGGGCACTTTTCGCGCAATCTTTGGAGTTGCAACCGCCTTCAATTTGGCAGGCATTATCTGCTCTGCAGTGGCATTTAAATCAGATGAGCTAAAGTGGTTTGACATAATTTCCTGCATTTGTTACTTAAGCATGCGTAAGTTCTCTGTCATTTCTTATATCCTCTGCTTAAAAAACTATTTTTAACCTATCAATTCATTCAAATATGTAATATTCACTTGGCGTAATTAAATACATTGTTGAGATTTCAGTAGGTGGGCTTACTCATGAAATGTCAACCGAAATTCCGAAATGAGTTTTAGTCTGGAGAAGATCAATTAAGAAGGTTTGTAATACTAGTAGTCCTGCAGCATTATTCTATAATGATTTAGTTACCTCAGGATGTCGGAGTTCGAAAGAAGTTCTTCCCAAGTGCATGCAAAAACTATAATCTGTAAAAATGACCACTTACGCAGCATGCATTTTTCTCATTGGCTTTCGGTGCCCATACAAATTAAATTATATTTCATGGAAAACACGTATAAAACTATTGATTCTTTTGCTCATTCGGTAGAAAATCACGTCTTCGTCCAATTTTATATTTGAAGGAAGGGTTTACTTCGATTTTAAATGTTTACAATTGTGAGATCATTTGATACCGTGAAATGGCTGTTCATAAAACGTCATGTCTCCGCATTTACCAATGTGGCTTGTAAAATTAGCAATATTGTCCAAATCCACTGATAAATTTCATGAAACCCATATAGTTTCCTCTTAAAACTGTAGAGAAATGTATGGTTTTTCGTACGCAGAAAATATACGGCTTGTAGTTTGGAGACCCTAAATGCAAATGTAACGGCAAGTCAGGATTCAAAATTATTCCGGAATTGAAAGGGCTTTTGAAAACCAAATTATACCCTGTCTTCGAATATAAACTTAAAAGTAGACGCAATTGTCTACCGAATGACCAAAAGGATAAATACTTTTATACATGTTTTCCATGGAATATAATTGAATTTTTAGGGGCACCGAAAGCCAATAAGAAAAATGCATGCAACGTAAGTGGTCATTTTTACAGAATATAGTTTTTGCATGCAGTCGGGAAGTGCTTTCGAAAGCCGCCATCCTGAGGTAACTAAATCATTATAGAAGTATGCTGCATGACTACTGATTCTACAAACCTACCTAGTTGATCGTTTCGAGACTAAAACGCATTTCGGTTGACATTTCGTGAGTAGGCCCACCTAATGTACATTGTAGACAAGTCTCAACTTTACGTAACATGTGTCAATAAGCTGCGACAGTGAATCAAATCTTCATTTGATAGATCCCTTTTATAGTTTTAAGTGTAATTCCGTAAGGTCTAATGAGTTGAAATGCTTAGAAAACTTCCTGTCATGCTCTATTTTCTTTTCTTCAAAGTACTTCTCTACATTATTGGTACGGCCTACTTCTACGGGAGCATTATGCACCAAGTGCCAATGTCAGTCACATGGGCGATTGTTTCGGCATCAATGTCGCTGGTGCTCATCCCGCCCGTCATTGCCCGAGTCCTTGTGCTGGCCAAATAAAGTACAAGCTGCAGTACGTACGAGGAGACTGCTGTCTGAGGAGTCATGCCATAAACATTTGCGCGAATGACAGGACACAGGATGTGAATGTCCAGCAAATCAAAATATTTATGTATACATCTATCTTCTTCATTTCATAGCTCTTCAATCGTTCTGCTATTCCACATTAAAGAAGTTAAGAAGTTATCACGGAAGCACTCGAAGTCAGAAATCATTTCGGAAGGCGCCTAATTATCGCTATTTGACGACAAGCAAGTTTTCTCTCCGAGTTAGTCTAGAGCTTCATAAACGCTTCGACAAAAAGACGGTCTGTGGACTTGGACCGAGATCAGCTGAAAAATTTCTCGAAGTCATGGGAAAAGATTCCAATAAAGGGCATCGATAGTAAGATGGCATAATGATCATTATGGGTAAATGGAGGATGGCGTCACATGGGCAACGGTACGATCTTCAGCCAACCCAACCTGCATTCCCAGCTGCTTTCTGGTGCTTTCTACAGGAACTAAGGCGGAGGACTTAAAACCAAAACTCGTCTTATTATCTGACTACATTTGAAGACAACGAGAGCCACCGGGTCTGTACTTGCACCTGTATGAGGTGGGGTTTGGAACGGAGAATTTGCCTGGCGGCAGCTCAGATAAGCAATGTGTCCGAATCAATGACGTTTGCAAAGTTCTTGCTCGGCTGGAATATTTGGATATTCACCAGGTATGTGGAGGTGACGTCCACCAACCTGTCCAGAATGCATGGCAAAAGTAGGCACTTCCATCTTGTCTCGAAACGCGTCGGCGGAAGCACAACGACTAGCAATCAGTAATCGTCAATGTAGCTAACAAGGTGCAAAAACACTGGAGTGGCCATCATGGCTCATTTCTCGTCATCAGTCGGTCACCCCCAATGCCAGGCGGGTGCCTAGGGCCAAAAATGGAGTCATTTGAAGGTTGAGAATTATTGTATTTTAAGCTCTTCCAGTTGAGTTTAGAGGAAAAACTGGGGGCTAAATTTCTGTCCTGTAGCCAGAATGCATTCCGGATACTAACTGACGGAACACGGCCCAGTGTCTCGAATAGAAGAATAATTAATTTCATACTGTTTTGTGATCAACTGACAAAGTCATATGCGCCCGCAAATGGTTAATTATATCCTGCTGGCGACTACAAAAAGCAAAAAACAAACGTTCCAGCATCCTATGTCCGGATTAATAGCGCGTCTCGGGGTAAGATGCGTCATAGTCGTGGCAAACCAGAAGACTGGAGCTCAGGGTCAGAATTACATTCCGTGTCAGAGCTTGCTTAAACAATAAAAATGTATCGGCTGCCTGTAACGGTCACGAATGTTCTGGTCGTGATTTTTACCCCCCCTCCCGCTACCCCCAAAGTGACTGACCTTAGGAGAAAGGTCAATTCTGATAAATGAAGCTAAAGTAAACCAGAATCTCCCCAAGAAATGCAATTCTAAGTATCAGAAGCTAGCTATGGCGGACATGCAATCCTACATCAATGGCTATGAAGAAGCCGACGAACGTCTTAATTAAGCTCTGGCCGGAAGTCAGAAATAGTCTCCCACCATTCCGCCTTTTGGATAATACTAAAAACTCACGAATATAAATTGCCTTGGAGTTTATAAATACCTGAGACGGGCAACTGCACCCATCTTAAATTGAGTATGAGGCGTAACACTAGGTGTTTACCTAGAAGACGCTACTAGGATTAGCAGTTTCGAGGCGGGTTTTGCTGTTGTAATACAATATTTTAAGCTTTTTGTTTTATATGCTAAGATTGAGCGTTTTTAAGGCCGCAATAGAGTGGCAGCCAGTCTGAGCAATCAAGCAATCGGTCAAATACTACCTAGAAGCGGGCGACCGGAATGGACATGAAGGGCTCAAATGTTCCCGTTTGTCTGCCATACCCCGACCACTCACAGGGAATGCCAGAGAATTTGAGGAATGCGGTGAACGAAGCGAAGAGGAGAGAGTGTAAGAAAGATTTGAGGAAGAGAAATGGCAACAAGAGAAGAAAAACGAAGAGGAGGAAAATGAGAAAAACGTCGGTCCCATAGGAAAACGGTCAATCGGTTGGACGTGACCTGGAAAAATCGAAACAGAGGCCATTCTTTGAAGTTCGATGTGCTCTACATGCCCAGACGTTCTTAGCTAAATTACATATTAATCACAACTGAAGTCAGATAAGGACGTAGGTAATTTTCACATGTTTCTTTGGAAAAAAATAACAAATGTTTTGAAATATAGTTCCGTGTAGAAGAATGAGCGCCAATGGGATAAGTCGCCGTGCAAACACGGATTTTTTGACTGTGGTAGGTGATTCGTATCTTCTCTTAACGCCGAGCAGAATGCGGTAACGCAGATCCTAATAATAAAAGTGTTAAAAGTCGACTGTCAATGGGACGTTTATTTCATATAAATGACAGCAAAACGTCGAAGAATCGTTCATTAGAAGGGGATACAAGTGTTGAAGGGCATAGTGTTTGCATGACATTGTGGTGGTTACCAGTATAAAGGACATCACGACCCTCTGTCCCAAATTTGTACTTGACGCATACACTGCAGTATTCTCTGACGGATTGTTTTCATGTCATACAAAATGAGGCACACCTCTTAAGTTGCCTTGCCTTGATGAGATTACTCAGGGAGTTTTAGGGACTGAGAAAACTGGACTGTTCATTTCTTTAGGTTGGCCACTTTAGTGGAGTAAATCTAAATTCCCTGCCCCCTCACCGGAGTCCAAAGTTCCATCGTAAAAATTTTACCTATCAGTCCTGTCCGGTAAGCAACAATTTGCCTCTGGTTTCTTGTGAGTACATGAAAAATATCATCCTCAAGGGAGAGCGGTGGTTCAGAATGACTTGTGACTAACGGGTTTTCGAACCGTCCAAATTCACCCCATAGCAGGCTGCTTTGGTGGAAGAAAAAATAACTTTTGTTTTGCAAGCTAATCACAAAGGTCATACTAATTACTAAGGCCTGTTTCAGAGTGTGTCAGGTTGTCCAGGCTATGACAATATTTAACCATTTTTGGGGTAAAAAACGTTTTTAAACTTGATTCCCAGATTAAAAAATCTCAAAAAATGTATTACAAGTGTAGACAGCTTCTGTTTAGTAAAACGTACAAGTCTTAGTCTACAAAAACGCACATGAGAAGGGTAGACTTTATATGGATGTACTACTTTGGGTTAATAAAATGCAAGTAAGGTGAAATGATTTAACCTTGATTAGGGCGGCGGGGTGTAGGTACTCTACCGTGAACTCCGCTCTTATCTTTTGTCATCGTTTGAAGTCGCTCCTGAAGCTGCGTATTCTCCTTTTCCAGTGTGCTCAATTGATACTGCGAGCGTACAAGTCGACTGTTTGTTTCCTCGTGTGCCTTGCGTTCCTACAAGAATAGAACAAAAATGACAAGTTCTGAACTGACTTTTTAGCCCTGGAATGTCGGAACTAGAAGCCCTGGGTATATATCCAGGTCATTAACTTCGATAGAAAGCACTGAAGACGAATGTGCCTTCGGGAACTACACCATCGAATTTCAGAAATTGTATTGTTTCTCTTTATAAAGAGAGCTGCCCTGAGCCAGAAAGATCGCAGTTCTTCTTGCCTTGGACTTATCTTTTTTCTTCCCAAGACACTTCCCACATTGTAATTCGCTGGCACCTACTCTGCCCTTTCCGTCCGTTTCTTTCCCGGAGCCAGCGCGTCGGTCAGAATTAAGTCCATTTTTGGACAGTCTCGGTTTAAGTTTAGTATACGGACTCCCATCATCGGTGGATTTGCCGATTATCAGTTTATTGGCCTGACGTAGTTAATCAGGTTTATTTAATTATTTGCTTAAATACTCCACCTTATAATGCCATCGCCAACGGTTTACAAGCTCGGGCTTGCATTATGTTCATGTAGTTCTGCTTTTATCGGCATAAAATTTCCCACCTAGTCGACAACATTATAGACGTGAGGAGTTCAGTTTTCCGGTGAAGACGGCTATACCACATCAAAGTGATAATATTTCTTCTGTAATTAGTTGTTTAAATTATCAGTGCACGTGTATATACTGCCCCGAGTTATTTTACGATGCTGATGAGTTGACAGGGTGAAGGATAAGGAACCAAAATCATGGCAACTGCCACTAGCTTTCAAAAAATAACTCGTTTCTAACAGACATTAACAGGTAAAGAGGAGAGGATAAAAATGAGGACGAGGCAGGAGCTATTTGATTACAATACGGAAAATGATTCGAGGACCAGAAGATGACGATCCCCTTCACGACAATTGAAGGGTTTTAAGCTTTTAATCCTTTCGTTATGAGCATAAATGAAAGAAATAACATACCATAATGTCGGCATTTGGTTCTACACACTACCTGGTCTGACAACAATAACTAATTTCTCCGATAAACGAATGCGAACGCAAGACCGAACTCAACAATTGTAGAAAAGATAAGAAAAATTTTATTTTTATTTTTCAAAGCACTTATTTACGCCTATCGAAAACGAGGTTGCAAGTATATCAGGTCTGATAACTGCAAGCTAAGAGACAGGTCAGTCGTGATCACGTATTCTTATGCTTAACGAACTTCAGAATATCCGTATAACGGGATTTTAAGAGAAGTGAAATAAAATTTAAGGCATATTTTAATTATAAATAATGAAACAAAACTGCATAAAAAACGCAGTTCCGTTTTTGCAAGTTCGAAATGATGACTAAGGGATTTTATTTCTGACAAAGTAACTTTAGTCACCAAAATTGATATAAAACGACGGGGCTCCTGTATCAAAGGGAAAAAAGTAACAGGTAAGATGTAGACGAAATAAGAAGCAACTTCTAGTGCCTGAACTAACACAGAACCTCAAGAGATCCTCTATCGAAAACTAGCAGGTCATTATGCATGCACTAGTTTCAGGATGCGTTCAAAGTGTAGAATGACTCTAGACCGTCTCTCTCCCCCCGCTTAGTCAATTATTTTATCCTGAAGTTGTATGTGCATGTATTGGTC